AATGACTCGGAGTGGGACGCGCCATAGTACGAGACCAGAGGATGGTGATGATCGTGAATTGTGTCGTTCCCAATCACTAAAGATGCACTATGATTCATCTCGACAGCAACCGGCGTGCAACTCCAACCCTGGATGTCTCTGTGAAGCACAGTGCTTCAGGATCGAGTTCCCATGAATTCCTCGATAATTGTCTTCATCTTCCCAGAAATCGAATCCGAGACGGGCGAGACAACCCCGCAAACAGACCATCCGATAGTGGTGTTTCTCGAACTCCGGGGGTCGCTGCCGGCTAACGAACTCCGGATCCACCCCCGCATGTAGGGAGGTCCCCCATTCCCGGGGCCATGGTGCACTCCGTCCGTCGTCAACACCAATCCCTTTCCGTACTTAGATGCATGGAACCATTTTCGAGGTGTCAACACCTTGATGGTCGTAAGGTTGACCCACCGTGCCGGACACGCGGATCTCTGCTCTGCATCTCACACATGCGTTGTGTGGTAAGGTAGCTCCAGTCTCTTGGCGTGGCAACCTTCCTAGCTCAAGGCCACACCTCCCTCATGGCCTTCATCAACTTGCAATCGCCCTTATGGCCGTCCTTCCAGGCAATGGCTTGACACTCCTACACAAAAAGCAACGATTAGCATCCCCTCCCAGCAAACCCACTACCGTAAATCCAGTCCAACTCACCTTGGAGCAATACCGCACCTCGCCACACCTAGAGCACTTCATCAACCTCCCCTCTCCCTCCTCCTTCCCACACCAGCTACACCTCTTCCTATCCCCATCCTCCTCCTCCCTCCTCCTCCCCAGCAACCTCACAACATCCCCCCCTCCCCCAGGTAAACTCCTAACCCCCCCAAAATCACCCTCCTCAACAACAACCCACCCCTGCCCGCCCTCTTTCTTCGCGGACTCCGTCCTCCTAGCGTTCGGCACGACAACGGTACAACCCTTCTTCAACCCGCGCGCGGCAAAGTCGATTGATCCGATGAACATGAGCGCGAAGTCTTGGCCCGAGAGGTCGGTGCAGATTAGTGTTGGGCGGGTGATGGTCATGTTTTCTTTTATTTGGGCTAGGAGGAAGTATTGCGTGGCGGAGGAGGAGGAGGAGCTGGGAGGTTGCGTGTCGTCGTCGGAGGAGGAGGAGGAGGCGGAAGGGAGGGTTGAAAAGGTTGGGAAGGTGGCGAGGGAGGTGAAGTCTGGGACGGGCATTGTGGGTGGTACTGAAAGGGGTGACGGGGAGGTTGAAAGATATTATGATAGATGGAAGGTGTGTGTATCTGATGAGGTGTAGAGGTGTACGAAGTAGAGGTTGGTGATACCGGTGAAACGTTTATCGGGCAGCAGGCGGGCGGTGAGCCTCAGGGGGAAAAACGCCAACACTAATAACGGAGAGCCAAGGCAGACCGGGAACCAAAGAAAATACTGGGATATCGCCAAACTTTCAACTGGAAGACAAGATCAAAGAACAGTCGATCTGGATGATACGGTGTGTTGATCAGTGTATTGTCTGGACGAGAGCACTGTGAGAAAAAATGGAACTCTTCGACTTGAACTCATCTGTCTTGTCTGAAACGGAAGGTGCAACGAACAGCTTCCATCCATCACCAGCAACGCCGCCATCGACTGGCTTTGTGGGTCGAAATGTCACTGTTTCGAACATCCAGCGATGATTTCGGCACGTATCGGCGAAATACTCTTGCGCATTCAAAATCTTCGCAAAGAATCCGCTGCATCTCATCTACGGAGCATTAATACTACAGGAAACGCGTTTTGTTCCCAACGGACCCGAGGAATAAAGGAGGAAAAGGAAGAGAGAAACTATAGACCAAAAGAACCAACTGCGACATGTGTGAGAACGTTATCTCGCAGCATCTCGCACCAAACATCATCTGGCGAACGGAAAACGCTGCGCCCGCAAAAAAAATCTTGATTCTTGTTCCCTGGCCGTACCCGACCAACCGTCAAACGCCCAAACACCTCCTGAGATCTGCAACGTGGTGGGAAAACGTTATCTGCCAACCCATATCCCACCCTCTAAACCGGAAGAGCAACACGTGATTAGTATGATTACGAGGGCATCTCTCTCATACACCCGTGCTCATCCAGCCAAACGTGCCCACCGCCATGCCGAGAATGATGAACGTCAGGATACCTGCACCAGCCTTGTCTCCCGTGGTAGGCGGCGTCGTATGCCCGTTAAAGCTGTCCGACTGGCTGCCGGCGTTGGGGTTGCCCGCGCTCGTGCCTCCCGTAGAGTTCGTCACGGGACCGGCCGTCTCGTCGATGAGCAGCGACGACACGGCGCCCAGGACGTTCATCTGCTGGCCCGCGCCCTGCAGGCCGTCGTAGGCGTGCGTGGACCACTTGAATCCGCAGATGCGCCCGCTCGCGCCGCCCGTGCAGGTCTCGAGCGCGGCCGTCGTCGAGCTCTTAAGGACGGGCATGATGGTGTCGTGGGTGAAGGGGGCGATCTTGGCCGTCGTGGCCATCCAGCGGTGGAGGTAGCCCTTGAAGCTCAGCATGTCCGTCGTGCAGGACATGTGCTCCTCGCAAGCGACCTCGTAGGCGATGCCGTCGGGAAAGAAGACGTTGAGGGTGCCGTTGAGGAGATCGGCGGTGCGCTGCCGCCAGATCTCGCTGCCGTTGGTCTGCGCGACGGGTGTTAGTGACTGGTTAGGAGATCGTGGTGCTAAGAGGAGAACCCACGTAGTTGTACATGTTCGCAGCGCCGAGGAGGAACACGGCGTTGTTGTACGAGAACTGCGCCCTGTTGATATCGGTGCAGTTGTGCTCGACGTGGCCGCCGTCGTAGATGTTATAGTTTGCATCGATAAAGCCGACGCTCGTAATCCAGTCCCATGTCTTCTCGGCCCAGTCGGCATAGGTCGTGTTGCCGGTATATCGTGCTAGTCTCGCGCCGAGGTTAAAGAAGCAGCCGTTCGCAATACCTAAGCCATCATATCAGTCAAGCACCGAGATGTTTCCGCGTCGACCGAGTGTTCTCACTGTTCTTGTAGTTGTATCCGTTGTTAGAGAGAGGAATCTGCCAGCGGAGTCCACCGTTGCAGGTGTCGTCGTGACGATCGGGGTTGGCTTGCGTGTTGAAGACGGCCTGAGCCAACGCCAGCCATTGCGGTTGGTCTTTCGGCGGATCAGGGAACTTGACCTCGGCGGCGAGCATAGCCGACATTCCCCAGAATCCTTGATCGTCATTTCCCAGAGACGCCGTGACGTTCGGCGGCATGTAGTCCTCGCCTGGTCCGACCTGCCATAGCATCGCCTCTGTTGTTATTTTGTTGTAGGTGTCGTCGCCGGTCAAGTGCCAGTAATCGATCAGCGTCCCCCACATTGCACCTCCTTCCCACCAGTAGTAGTCGCCAGCCGGTGGCGGTCCTGGTAGGATACCGGGCGTCTGGCCGATCTCGTTTCCATGGTAGTAGGCGACGAGGTCGGCAGCTAGTTGTTTCGCGCTCGCCTTGATCGATGCTGCTCGAAGTGTCAGCCAAGCGTGCGACAGCAAGAATACGCAAAGAAGATCTAGTGTAGCGATGACTCCGGTTCTCTCTCAAATAGGCACAGGGGACGGATCATTCGTACCGGAATCGCTGATGCTGTAGGCGGCGTTGGCGATGCCGCTGCCGATGAGGACGGCGGCCGCAATATGGGAAGTTGGCGAGATCATGACGACGTGATTTGAACGAAACTGAGCGAGGGACTGTTGAATAAAACGATCGTATTCGTCGGTTTGAGGCCAGCAAGTAATTATGCTGTGCCCATCGAAGGTGAGCGAGCGGTAATCAGGCTTGGAAACTCGCAAATGGCAATTGACGTCGTCGAGAAAGAGAAGGTGGTTGAGTTGAGTTTCGTGTTCAAAGGAGAAACCAGAGGTTCCAGAGGTTCCTTGTTGACAGGCTTGCAACTGCAAGGGGTTGGCGGGCGAGAATGATGGAATGCGAACTGCTTTGCCGGAACGAACAGGGAAGGGGTACATGAGCAAGTGGCATTTCTGTTAAGTGGGATGACGTGAATCAAGCTCCCGAGCTAACAGCTCCCCTGAATTCACGGGTACCTCGAATACGCATGTGGCTGACGACCAGGGAATGTCTGGGGATTTCCAGCGATAAGATTGGAGGGCTCCATGGCCGGCTGCCCCACCCTCTCGCCGCTTGAAGGCCATGAAGGGGGTTCCAAATTGTCTTTCACCGGGGCTGTGTTGAGCGCCTAAAATCAGGATATCGCCCGTCTCTTGTCTCACCGTGACCCATCACTCCATCCGGTTGTTTCAATGCACATCTTCAACGAAGTCGGGTGCACACTCCTCATCGTTCGGGGGGCAGGTGATCCGTCGGGACGGTCATGTCGTATTTCTTTCTCGTTCGCCAAGTCCGTTATGGCGCTACCAGCTCGTTCAAGCACTTTGATCGTGAACATCGAAAGCTTGTCGGATGCCACGCTTCTTGGACTCTTGGCCGCCAAGTGTTTCTGTCCAGTTCCCCTGTTTCCAGGCCTCCTCCAACAGGCCCAACTTGTGCTGGAATCGAGAGACCTCTAGTGAGGGAAGAATGTGGAAGTTCAAACAGTTGTCTACGCCAATGGAAACGAAGAAGCCCGACATTCGGCTTCGGATGCATTTCTCTTCCGCACACATTTCGGGTTTCAGTTGTCTCATCCCAGCCCGTACAGAGCAGACTCATGACTTGCGATAGCAGGCGGTTTTTCCATCGCCTGTTCGAGCTTAGCTCGGTTCAGTTTCGACGGCGGGTTTAGCTCAGTTGGGAGAGCGTCAGACTGAAGTCAAACTTCATCCAAGTCATCTGAAGGTCGTGTGTTCGATCCACACAAACCGCATTCTTTTGCATGTTTTTGCTTTTGCAACTTTGCACCATTTTGCACATCTCTCGAAATGGAGGTCAGTCTCTCCGGAGGCCGCCAGCTCGACTGCAAAACAGCAAAAAGGCATGCCATGCCCCCAGGGAGGACATGAGATGTCAGATGCATGCGGTTTGTGTGGATCGAACACACGACCTTCAGATTGACTTTGTTGTCACTGTGGTGAAGTTGGCTTCAGTCTGACGCTCTCCCAACTGAGCTAAACCCGCAACGATCAGATTCTTCCGTTTATGCGCACATCATGAGTCGGGGACCTGATGAAGCAGTCGCCAAGTGGAGGGCCACGGGTCATGGTGACGGACGGCAGCTCCATAATGTGCAGCTTCATCGAACACAGCGAATGCTATCGGATGAAGTTCCGGAACTGCAGCTCATCACCGCTCTGACATGAGATGCACCGGCCGTATTCACCATCAATTCACCATCAATTCGGGATGTCTGATGCCGTCAATCACCGATTATCAAATCCGTATGCGATGATAGATTCATCAAACTCGAGCCAATAGGAATAGGGCTGTCACCGCCCGGAGCTCAGCATTATGAAAAGGTTCAGTCAGCAGTCAGCTCTATAGCTTACATCCGACAACGTGCACAGTCAGAACTCATAACAGAATTAGGTAAATGATAGGACCGGTAGCGACAGTCGGTGTATGAACTGGCGGGAATACTGAGGTATCAAGCTCAGCCCTTCGGATTTTGCGAACAGTGCAAGGGAATCGACCATGTCGCCAGCTTTGTGCAAGCTCCAGCTGTATCACGTTAATAAAAGCAGACCTCGTGGACGGGCAGAAGCATCCCACTCTTACATCATCACCACCTTCATACATCTGATCTCGGGCTGCAAGCAACCCCTCTCTCGGCCGCCATCTTTTCCTCAGACAACAACATCCAAATCTGTGTGTCGTGGTCGCATTGGACTGATTAAGCACCTCAAGCAAATCTGAACTCCCTCCCCTAGGTCCCATCTTGCCTTCATCTCAAACAATGGCATATTGGGCCGGCAACCGGTCGGGAGCTACAGCGTCCCAGCTTGAGCACGTGGTCCATGCGATCCGACACACGCCCATCATCGACAACCATGCCCATCCTCTGCTCAAGCCCGAGTCTTTGGGCAAGTACCCGCTGTTGTCAATTACAACCGAAGCGTCTGGCGATGCCATCGACGATTCGCTCACCAGTCTCGCTCATCTGCGCGCTATCCGTCAGCTGTCCACCATTTTGAAATGCCAGCCGACATGGGAAGCCGTTGTAGCGGCCATCGAGCTGAAGCGCATCGAGGACTCGGACGACTGGGTCGCGCAGTGTCTGGACGGTATTGAGACCATCCTCGTGGACGACGGCCTGGACAACCAGGAAGAGGCGTACAGCTACAGCGAGCACGATGACTTCACCCGCAGCAAGTGCAAGCGGATCGTGCGCATCGAGCAGGTCGTCGCAGCCATCATCAAGCGCCAGCTGGAGGCCAACGTCGCCGAGGAAGCGGACGCTCAGGAGGTCTACTCCAAGGTCTTCGACGAGTTCGAGGCGGCAATCAAGCAGGCCATCGAGGACGAGGACGTGGTCGGCTTCAAGTCCGTCATCTGCTACCGGACGGGCCTAGACATCGCCCCATTTGTGGACCATAACGCCGCCATAGAGGCCTTCCGCGGCATCCTCGAGAGCGACGAGCCCTTCGCGCGACTTCAGCATAAGCCGCTGAACGACATGATCGTCCATCGCACAGCCGAGCTTATCAAGCGCAGCCCGGCCCGGGAGAAGAAGCCTATCCAGTTCCATACTGGGCTCGGCGATAATGACATCACGCTCACCAAGTCGTCGCCGTCGCATATGCAGCCTTTCATCCGGGTGCACCAGGATGTGCCTATTGTGCTTTTGCATGCCAGCTACCCATATACAAGGGATGCTGGGTACTTGGCCACTGTGTACCCTAACGTCTATGCTGATATTGGCGAGATCTTCCCGTTCCTGAGCAGGGATGGCCAAGAGACAGCGGTCAGACAGGCTCTTGAGCTGTGTCCGTGGTCCAAGATTGTGTGGAGTACCGACGGTCACTGGTTCCCTGAGACGTACCTCCTGGCCATCATCCAGATTCGTGAGGTGTTGGAAACTGTAAGTTGTTAAATTAAGGTGTGCACATTCATCAACTAACTCTGTAGGTCATATGCGACTACGTCCGCAAGGGCGAGCTGGGTTACAAAGCGGCCATCCAGCTCGTCCGCGACATACTCTTCAACACAAACAACAAGCTGTACCACCTCGAACTCGAGTTCTCCGAACTAGAAGGAGCCGTGACCAATGACATCGGCGACGAAAAGTACCGCACCGATCTGGAGCTCTTCCAGTCCTTCCTCAAGGGGCGAGAGCTGCCCGACTTCATCCGCATCTACTGGAACGACATGACGGCCATGCCGAGGATGCGCCTCATTCCCTTGCGCAAGTTTATGTCGCTTCTCGAGCAGGGCAAGTCTGTCGACATCGGCATCACCAAGGCCGTCCTTAGTCTGCTGCAGAACGACTCAATCTGCCCCGGCGGCACCCCCACGGGCGAGTACCGCCTCCACCCGGACTTCTCGTCCCTCAAATCCGGCCCTATCAAGGGCCACGCCAGCATGCACGGCGAGTTCCGCGAGAAGAACGGCGCCAGGGTCGACCTCTGCCCCCGCTCCCTCCTCGAACGCGCGGTCGAGTACGGCGCCGAGAAGGGCCTGACCTTCCTCCTCGGCTTCGAGATCGAGTTCATGCTCCTCCAGCGCCTGGACGACAGAAACGCGCCCAGCAAGTTCGGCGCCCGCGTCTCCGACGGCCACGCCTGGTCCGTCTCGCGCGCCTTCGCCGACCAGCGCGTCTCGGACCTCCTGCGCGACATGGTCGGCGAGCTGGACGACATGGGCATCTACGTCGAGCAGGTCCACTCGGAGACGGCGAACGGCCAGTTCGAGCTCATCCTCCCCGCCTCCCCGCCCCTCGAGGCGGTCGACACACTCCTCCACGCGCGCGAGGTCATGTCCGCCCTCGCCACCAACGCGGGGTACCGCATGACGCTGCACCCGAAGCCGCACGGCCTCAAGGACGTCGGCAACGCCTCGCACGTGCACGTGTCCATCTCCTCCCCGCCCGGATCCAAGCGGGAGGTCTACGAGAGCTTCTACGCCGGCGTGCTGAAGCACCTCCGGGCCATCCTCGCCTTCGCCTACAGCAGCCCCGCCAGCTACGAGCGCATGGCCGACAGCCAGTGGACGGGCGGCCGGTGGGTGGCGTGGGGCACGCAGAACCGCGAGACGGCGCTGCGCAAGGTTGAGGACAGCCACTGGGAGGTCAAGACGCTGGACGGGCTCGCGAACCCGTACCTCGCCATGGCGGCCGTGCTGATGGCGGGCGTCAACGGCGCGCTGGCGAAGGAGAAGCTCGTCTGGGGCGACTGCGAGAGCGATCCCGCGCACCTGACGGAGAACGACAAGAAGGAGCTGAACGTGACGGAGATGCTGCCCGCCAGCGTGGGGGAGGCGCTGCAGGCGCTTAGGGAGGACGAGGAGCTCACTGCGCTTATGGGCCAGGAGTTGGTGGAGAAGTACACCGCCGTCAAGGAGGCGGAGCTGAAGCTGTTGGAGGGGATGGATGAGGACCAGAGGCGGGAGTGGATCATGGAGCGCTACTAGCTGTGCTTGCTATTCTACCTTACCTTAGCTACCCCATACCAAACCACTTAAACCATCCGTCGCCCATCAATCTCCCATCCCTACCTCGATTCTTTAGCAACCAACACAAGCGCCCTAACATACTCCTCCACACTCTTCGCTCCCACCAACGTAACATCCCTCCTCCGTCCCTCAATCCTCACCGTCGGCACGCTATCAACCCCATCCATCTTCTCCTCCAGCACCATCCTCTTCGTCTCCCTCAACCCGTCCTCCTTCCCCCCCCGCCCCATCCCCTCCGCCTCCTCCCTCCCCAACCCGGCCCTCTCGCAAGCCTCGACCAGCGTCTCCGCGCTACTAGGGTGCTTCTCCTCCTCAAAATAAGCCCGATACAACGCGTCCACCACGCGGCCCGCCATTGCGGGACCGAGGTCGGTCTGGACCTGCTGGATGACGCGGTGGGCTTCCAGCGTGTTGGCCACGACGCCGCGGAAGGAGAAAGAGATGCCGGCTTCGCTGCCGTAGGCGGACATGAGGGAGACGTACATCGCCATGCGGTCCTCGGAGTTGTTGTATTTGGTGGACAGGTACCAGGCGTGTTTGTCTTGTCCTTCGGAGGGGAAGTCTGGGTAGAGCTGGTAGGGGCGGATGAGGACGGGGGGGAAGTTGATGTGGGAGGTTATCTCGGGCAGGGTGGCGGCGTGGGCGAGGGCGGCGTCGAGGCGGCGCTTGGCGAGGTAGGTCCAGGGACAGATTGTGTCTAGGGTGAGGGTTATTTGGGATTCGTACATTGTGAGCTACATTACGTCATGAGAGATAATGTTGTATGGTGAAAGAGTAATGTGTAGGGTGAGAGGAGAATGGGAGATGGGATGAGGCCATCTTGAGTGCGGGGAAACATGGACAAATGGAGGTGTGTTGTGTTTTCCATGTCTCTGTGGTTGGTGAGGTACATCAGGAGGTCACAGAATGTTATCTGGATGTCTCATCTCTCTCGCAAACGGTGAGGAGCAGGCTTTCACCGGAACAATACGTATGACCATTACCGTGCTACGGATTCTCAAGCTGAGTCGGCTGTGTAAGCTGGACTTGCATCGCCAGATGAATGTTGACTTCGCCAGAGAATCTCAATCTACAGGCTATGCCGGCAAGTACATAGGTATGAGCCCGTTAATTTGTGTCTGCCTCAGTTGTACCGAGCTTCAAGAGCACCTTCCGCAGTTAGATCGTGTCCTCCGGCCTTTCGGTAAGGTGGTACAGAAAAATGCCATCAAGGTTGATGTACTGTGTAGTTTCCCGCTGAAGTTTACCCCGGACTTGAAGTCCCCCACTCCGGCCGCATTGCAAGTGGGGTTCTCAGCTCGACTTAGCAGCCAATGAGACAGCCGGACCCTGAGCAGGGAACAGGGCTCTAGCCAAATAAGTTTTGGTTGACCTGTCCTCAATGGACTTGACGTTGGAGTCGTCGAGTTCGTCTGATGGTGAGCCTCGCTTTCTTTAACTTAAGGCCAGCTCTTTCCCCACGCATTCACGACTTGCTGCCAATTGCGATCTTGTTGCAGCTTACGATATAA